CCCAGCCACTATGCATTTCTCTCCTTCTGCATCTTCATGTTTTCTAGATGTCACACAGAGTTCTCCTAAATATCACGTTCTCCTCAAAGCCAACAAGCAATGGAAGAATACTTTAAATTGGTTACATCGGGAATCTTAGCTTGAGAAAGTAATTCTGAGTCCGTAGTACGGATAAGAAAATCTTGGTGTGTGTTTTTTACTTTGCTGCATTTGCAGGAAGCCTTGAGTTGAACCTGCTGCCTTGTACTCTGCCAGCAGCCAGTGTTCTTAAGGCTGTGCAGTTTGAATCTGTTGGGTAGATCTTAAAGTCTCATAAAATGCTTTGAACTTAGTTCCATCAGCTTGTTTTGGGGGAAGAGAGGAATGTGTTGGGGAAGTCCATGCAAGTGGATTTGTATTCAGAGATATTGTAAGATGACTCTTTGTCCAGATTTTCATTTTTCTTTCTACTGGCCGTGGTTTGTTCCACTAGCAAGCAAGAATTCTAAGTTAACAGGATATAAAATTGGAAAGAACAGAGTCTTACCAGGTTTTCCTTGGCAGAAGCACGTCAGTTTGCCCTTCCTAAATGACCTGTGGTGATCTAGCAAATCTGTCCAAGATACACTGTTTGTTGTGAAGCCATCTTAACCGAACCAGGAGCTGGGGATATTTATTCTGAACCTACTATGTCCAGATCCTTTTGTGACATTGGATAAGTGACTTAAAATGTATCTGTCTGTTTACTACTTCATGATTTTAGGTTAAGTTTAGGCTTTTGAGGACTAATTGAAATTACAGTGTACTTGCAAAGGTCCTGAAAAGGACTGTCTTTCTATGAGCCAGCAGAAAACAAGTGCAGAAGTGTTAGGGTTGATACTCACCCAGGCAACTTACTGCTGAAATTCTTGTGCATCCCAGATGAACAAGAGGCCTTGAAATCCATCATGAAGGACCTGGTAGCACTCCAGATGGGCCGACGTCACAGACTGACTGGATATGATACCATGAAGAATAAAGACACTGCTCACTCCAACAAACAGGTAAGAGACTGTTTAGCGAGTACTTGAAACCGTTACCTGGAGGCAGAAGGGACAGAGTAGGTTGAAGGGGGTCTGCTGTCTCCCTTCTGCCTGTGCTTCCGACTGCTGAAGCATCACGGGTGGATTAACTCCCTGTTCTTGCTCAGGCTGCAGTGCCAGCATGGTAGCTTTTTTTATTTACTTACCTTTGTGGTCTGTGAAGTGTGGAGTTTTGGTAATCTGCAACATCTTAGTATTCTGACATCCTCCCACACATCTGTTTGATGGGTTTGGTCTGTGTCAATTAGCTAAAAAGTTTACCAAGTGGTTTTCCTGTTTCACAGTCGTATTACCTTTTTTTTTAATGACTTTATTATTTTTCAAGAAAAAACACAATGCCAGCAGTCCACCCCTCTTGGGCAGCCCTGCAATAACAAACCAGTGTGCCTCTGCAGTGGAAGAAAAAAAAATCCCGGTAAGAAAACTGTCTTCCTGTTCAATATTAGCAATTATAAATTAGGAGCATGTGTTAAAGTTGTGTGCGGTGACCTTTACAGAATACATTTAAGCAGGTGTGGGAGGCCAGGAAAGCTTTTCTTTACTGACTGTCATGATGTAGCAGTGTGATGCACTTTTCATTGTAATGGAAATGATACTTAAAGGGAAGCAGGGAACTGAGGAGCATAATGGTGAAAAGAAAACAAACAAGTGTTTCCATCTCTGATGCAAAAGAAGGCCAGTGCAATTTAAAGTTGCATAAAGCAGGCTGTTGGGTGATGAGCTAATGCTGGTCTCATCTTCCCATGATTCAGTCTGCATGTGAATACAGAATGAAGATCTCAGTAAGTGGTAGTCAAGCTGAAGTTGGCCCAAGAAGGAAGCTGGGAGGGGACTTTTTTCAAGGGCTTGTAGTGACAAGACAAGGCGTAATGGGTTTAAATTGAAAGCAGGGAGGTTTAGATTAGATATCAGGAAGAAGTTTTTCCTGGAAAGGGTGGGGAAGCACTGGAACAGGTTGCCCAGAGATGTTGTGGATGCCCCATCCCTGGATGTCTTCAAGGCCAGGCTGGATGAGGCTTGGAGCAACCTGGTCTAGTGGAAGGTATCCCTGCCCATGGCAGGGGGGTTGGAACTAGATGATCTTTAAGGTCCCTTCCAACCCAAACCATTCTGTGATTCTATGAAGAACAGTGAAGAGGGTTGTCTGAAAGGCCTGGCTTTAGTGAAGCTGTAATAAACCTTGCTTCAGTGAGAAAGGAAGCGGCTGCTTACAGGTGTCTGAATGGAGGCAATGCCCTTAACAGGGAGGGTTGTTGGAGTTACCCAGTCATATGTCACGTGAAGATGGGAGTGAAACTAGCCCCTATTGGGGTATGGGGATGTGAAGTCCATTTTCTAAAAGAAATACTTCTTCTGAGGTAGTAAGTGGTAGGGCCAGTGCTTTAAAACATCTCTAGGTTCACTTCACATTGCTAGAGACTTTTTTTCATAGAGAAGACTATTGCATTGGCATTCTGGTAGAAAGACAGGACAGAATACTATCGCTCTGTCAGTGCGTGCTGCGTATCATTTGATTGAAATACGTGAATGCAAAAGCAACAATTTCAGTCAAGAATTCTTTGTCCATTACTGTCTTAAAACTTAAATCAAGTTACTTACAGTTGGACTGACGTTAACAGGAGAAGTTGCCTGGATCGGTAAAATAACTCTTTCCAGTGGTATCCTTACTACAGGCTTAAGCTTTTTGGAGCAGGCTTTAAAGTTCATGTCTGTCTTGTTCTTATGCTTTGTCTGCTCATAATCTACTTGTTCAGCTGGGATAGGGGATTTCCTTGATTGTGCTATGGACAAATCCGTAGATGGAGTAGGACGAAATCCTTTCCAAATCGCTTTGAAACGTAAATTCAGAGATGTCTTAAATCAAAATCTGTAATCATTATTTATGGTACCACATCACAGAACTGGAACGCTAAAGCACCAAACTTGGATTTGCTTTCTTACTCGTCTCTTAGACAGTTTATGTGAGTTGCTTTAAAAAGTGGTTTATGTAGGCGATAGGTTCACTGCTTGCAAAGGAAACAAAAGGATCTTTAACTCCTCTGAGTTCTCTCTGAAATTTAAACACTAAGATCACTTTAAATACCTTCCTTAGATCTTTGATAAAATAGACACAAATGGCCAATGTCTGATCCTTTTGGAAAAATCATCAGGAGATAGATGCCACATTCCACACAACCCCCCACCCTCCCCTCCCACCTACCCTTTGTTACATATTACTGGTTCAAAAGCATGCAGTGCTGTTGAGACAGATATTTTTGTTTGCTTCAGTACCAGTAAGTTGAAGAAAGGTTTCCAGGGAGCCCTTGGTACATCTTTTAGTGTTGTCTAATGTTAACTGCTGAGAACTGTCTCTCAGCTGTTTCATGACCTAAAACGCATCTTGGGATCAGAAATTTAATCTGAAAAATTACTTTAATTCAATTTAATCCAAACAATCCTGTTTAGTTCCCTTAGACTAGGGTACTTAGAACTCTATCGCCTTCTTTCCCTGAAAATCCCTAATATAAGGGGATCATTCCTCCATCCATTATGCCTAAGAAATACTCTTTCATCAGTAGTTGGCTGGTGAACATCTTCCGTAGTTTATTGTTCCTATGCTGTTGCATTTTTCCTTTGCTGGTTAATTCAAATGAGTTCTCTAGAATTTGCTTCATTTTGTTTTCTTTTTAAAGTTCTTTTCCTCCACCTGAGAAAACGTCTTTGGTAAAGTTACGTGTAGATTATGCACCCCCAGATGATTGTTGCTCTGATTGGGAAGCTCGTTTGTCGGGATCAATTCTGTACCTGCAGCAGGGCTGCAGGAATACTGTGTACTCACAGTGCTTGCACGGGTCCCTTTGAACTGCATTCTTGACCACTAGGCCTGCCAGATACTTCCTCCAGCTAAAGAGCATTTCCTGGCCCCATTTTTTTGAAGTTCCTAGATGTATGATTGCCTATTGTCTGCGGCTTTCACAGATGGCTTAATCTATTCCAATCACATAAATTGTGCAGCAGAAATTATGGAGTCTTATCAGAGCAGATTTTTCCCTTTTATTTTTATCATTGTGACCTAAATTGGGATTTGAACTTGGATCTCCAGAGTTGAAAGTTCGGCATGTTGACTCTTCCGTGCCACATAGCATCTTCTGAGATGAGTGCAATGCGCAGGTTGCACAGTCAGTGCTTTGAACCGTCTGCCAGATACAGGCCATGACCCCTTTGCACTTTAAAAGGTGACACATAGTCCGCTTCTTTGTAACTTCATAGTTGGAGCTTCAGCGGCTGTGTTTTTGCAAAAGCAAAGATTTAGTCTGTGTCTTAAGAATAAAGGATGTAGCCCGTTCCCTGTAGTGCTGTCTTTTTTGCTGTGGAAGAAAACATGCTTGCTCTGAGCATGTGCAAAGAAAATTAGATGAGTATGCAGTTGGACTCAATTTCAGATTTTTGCCATGCAGTGTTAAAGATGGATTAATTTTTCTTATAGTAAAAGTGTATATTTCAGTGCTCTCTGTTTAAGTGCCAATTAATACAAATTGCAACTTAGTTTTTACCTCTTTCCTTTTCTTTTTCCTTCACCAATTTCTCCATTCCTCACGGTGCTGCGTTCACGTGTCAGCCACTCTTGTCCACAGTCTGCTTCAGCTTCCACGGAGAAAGCTATCAGACTTGATGTGCTCTGGTTAGCCTTTCGAGGAGTTGATGCCTGCTGCGGTCACAAATTGACCTGCTTTGTATTTGGGCCTTAAAACCGTAACACGGTCCATTTGTGCGCTATTGCGTGTGTCAGAGTTTCACTGTGAACTAACCTTTTGTCCCTTCTTCTGCAGAATGATGTACGGATAAAGTTTGAACATAATGGGGAAAGACGGTAAGTCTGTCTTCGCTACGTTGATTCTTTGCTTAGTGGAATCATTTAGTCATTAGTAATTTAGGTTAAATGATTTGTTGGTTTGTTCCTGAATAAAAAAAAAACGGTGAAGGCAACAGCAAACAGGTCGTACACAACACAGTTATTTTTAAGATATCAGTGTGTCATACAACGCTTTCCCTTGATGTATTTTCACAATATCTACGTGTAAGTGAATTGCAGGAATACTAAAAAAGCTGCCCAGCCTGAAATAAATTCAGCCTGATGGTTTTATTTCAGTTATGGTCCCTATTTGTTTCATTTACCTAAAACCGAATTAAACTGATCAAATTAGTGTCATTCTTTTCTAGTTTCTCACTTCCTGATGACCTACCACTATCACAGTCCTGCTGTGCCTGAGCAACAGACACAGCCAGGGAAGATTTTTTCATTGGTCTAAAAGTTTCTTTGTTTTTCCTCTGATACTCAGTTTCAAGATACTTTCTTTTACAAAACACCAGAATTAAGTGAATTAGCATTTTCAGTGTTTATGGTATTGTTTTCAATGGGTAGAATTACCTAAACATTTCGAAGTAGGTCTCAAAGCCCTGCACTGGCCACCTAATTGAGAGGGACTCCTGATGCTGTTACAGCCTTTCAGTGGCCCTGTGTACATACAGGAAGGCTCCAAGCTCTTGCTGAGGAGGAAAAAGGGATCGGGATGTTATGGTCCACTTTCCTTTTTTGAAGAAATTACTTGGATTGTAAGCATGAGTTTATATTCTACTCTTCACAGGCGTCCTGTGGGAATCCTTTGGTTTCTCTTCTCCCAGACAGTATTTTCAACATGTTCACCGTTTCGTGATAAAATGCAAGTTTAATGTTGATAGTGCAACAGTGCAAGTTGTATGTAGGGGTCCTAACAGCCTGCTGCTGGCAAAGGTTACCAGCTGAGCTGCTTAAGCTCCTCCTCAGGTATCCTCCTGTGTCGAATTCTGGGGTTTGTGTTGAAACGGAAAGGCAAGGGTGTTCGTTGTTGGTAAAGCAGGCAGTAGAGAATAACAGGTAAAGTCTTCCTCAAAAATTGAACTGTTTCATTCATCAAAGTCCTAGATGGTGAATCCTGTTGTTAAAAAACCCCTGAGTTCTGGTGCTCAAGGAGAAATTTTTAAAGCATTTGTAGCTGGGATCTACTGCCGCCTTTGCCAGCCAGATCTTCTCAGCACTCTGCTGTGTCAGGGGCATTGTGTGGACTTCAGCAGAGCCGCTGTGCTGCTTGTCACCATCTCTTGTGATACCCTCTTAGGACAAGGTGACTTGGAAGCCAAATCTTGTCACTGCCGTCCTATCATCTCGGATGTCTTCTGGCTGAGTGCATTTAAGATGGCACAGAGCTCAGGAGAGAAGAAAGGGTTTTTTTCTGAAGTAACATTAAAATGAAAAGGTTGATTGTGTGTTAGTCTAATTATGCAGTTACGCTTGCCTGAATTCCCCATTCCCAAAGTGGTATGCAGTTACAGACAGCAAGCTTGCACCGAGAATGTAAGTGTGTGTGCTTGGTTTCAGAGGAGCTGCCAGATCTAACCACAAATATTTAAGGTGGTCAGGCAGGAATGGGCTCCTTAAACCCTGCAGTCCCTGATTTTGCGTTAGAAGAGTGCACGGAGTTTTTAAACTAATAGAATTTGTGGCACCTGAGAACAGCTCTGCTTTTTAATGCATTGAGGGTAGAATGGAAGCCTTTATAAGGGACTTCGGCTCAACTGAGAGCTAAATTACGTCTGTATGGTGCCAGAGGACTATAATTTCGTGGATGGGTTTCTTAGGAATACGTGGAAAATGTTATTGTGGGCTGCTTTTTAACAAGGAGGATTATTTCTAAATAGCTGAATGTTGTAGGTCTGGTAGCAAGATGAACCCTTCCTGGGAAGGGGCTAACGAAGCCAACGAACACTAGAGCTAGTTAAAACAAAAGCTGCACTTCGTGAAAGGATACTGAGTGCTGGCGAAGCAGGCTGGATGGATGTTTTGGAAACTGAGCCTTCTGTCCAAAGCGCAAGTTCGGCAGGAACTCCTGTGAGCTTCCCCAGAGGTGATTTGGGGTTTCACTGCACTGAAAGAGTTGCCCCTGTGAGCGAGAGAGGTCTTGAGTTTCTGTGGTCCGTTCAGGTCTTCCTATTTCTGCCTGATGGCAAAATTGTTGAGTGGTGCTAATAGTCAAGCTTTTGTGGCAGTGTTTCAGCTGTGCTGAGGCAGTGTTGTTTCAAGCTGCAGTGGTGGGGTAAGCAGCTCTTGAAGTGGTCTGATAGCTTTCAGGAGGACAGTGGCTGTCAGCTGTAGTGGAGACGCAGCGTGGTCTCATGGCTCGTGGAAGCAGATGGTGAGAAGTCTGGTTACAGTAGCCCGAAGGCAGGAACAACCAACCATCTGGGCCTTGTGCAGCAAAGACATGGAAAGTGGGTTTCTGAGCAGCAGATGTCCTTGGTTTGCCAGAGTAATGGGTTGTAAACTATATTATCATAGAATCACAGAGTGGTTTGTGTTGGAAGGGACCTTAAAGCCCACCCAGTCCCACCTCCTGCCATGGGCAGGGACACCTTCCACCAGACCAGGTTGCTCCAAGCCTCATCCAGCCTGGCATATTAAACCTAAACAAACAGTTTTAGATGCTTTACTGGAACTTCATATTACTACTTTGCCTAAAGCATTAGAGTTTCTATTCCAAGGTAGGCAAAATGGTAATAAAAACCTAATAAACCATAGTCATTTTCTGCAAAGCATGCGTGTGCCTCAGCATTCCCCTGGGGCGGCTGTGCCTGTTGCCATTTTGGATTTCTTGAGGCCATTTGTGTATGTGAATCTAAAACTCCTGCCATCCACCTGGTGAGGAAACGGCTGAGTGCTGGAACCAGGGGTTTGGTGTGCCACAAGAGCTGAGCTTGGAGAGCACAGTCAGAACAGTTTACATCTGTGCATATTTTCATAGAATCACAGAACAGTTTGTGTTGGAATGGACCTTAAAGCTCATCCAGTTCCAACCCCCCTGCCATGGGCAGGGACACCTTCCACTAGACCAGGTTGCTCAAAGCCTCATCCAGCATGGCCTTGGACACTTCCAGGGATGGGGCATCCACAGCTTCTCTGGGCAACCTGTCCCAGTGCCTCACCATCCTCTTCGGGAAGAATCTCTTCTTGATATCTAATCTAAACCTCCCCACTTTCAATTTAAACCCGTTAGCCCTTGTTCTGTCACTCCCTGCCCTTGTAAAAAGTTCCCCCCAGCTTCCTTGTAGCCCCTTCAGGTACTGGAAGCTGCAATAAGGTCTCCCCAGAGGTGGAGGTGCTCAGAGATGCTTCACGTATGAAAAATACTCCTGAGGGAAGAAGCGTGAGAGTATGAGACTGATCTGCCTTATATGAATATTCTGTTTTGTAAGTTTTGATCTATTAGGCCTCTGTAACTAACAAAAAAGGAAGAAAAGCAGTTTATTTAAATAGCTGTGAATGACAAATGGTTGCACGGTTACCATCAGATTTGACCAGTTCTTGAGAAGAAACCCCCACAGTGGTGCGCGGGGTTGGAAGGGTAACTGCAGAGACATGTAGTGAGTCTGTGGTTCAGATGTTCAGAGATGTTGGAGTTGAGCATGCCGAGGGCTAACGTGGAGCTGACGTCACGGACCACCTTGTGGAAAGAGAGTTTTCAGATTCCGTCGTGTCCTCCTGCTGATGCCTTCCCCCAGGACTTCAGGACTAACTTTGCTGTGGGAATGTTTGTTGAAACCTTTCAACTGGAACGTGTTTTGGAAATTTTTAGGGAGTGAGTTTTGAGTTCAGATATTGGAGTACTTAAAGCAAATACTTTTTTTGTTCTTTTGGCCTTCTGCAGCTTTTAATTCAATTCTCACTGAATGTGTTTGTTTGTGTTTTGTGCCTGAGGCAGTATTCTTTAAGCCAAAGTGCACAGGAGATTTGTATCCTGTTTTGTGGAAGAAATTTGTTCAGTAAAGGATACTTCTCTATCCAGGGACAAAGGCATTCTATTTGAAATCTTCAGCTGAATATTGTGTTTTGAGAAACCATTTGGAAATTGACCAGAGATCAAGAATTCCTTGCTAAAATAATTAATATCAGTTCAAATCAGAAAGGTTCACTACCTGCTTGAGGGTGAAAGGAGGACATTGAAATGTTTTTAATGATTCAGCTACTTAAGTCGATTGTGTTGTCAGGTATATCTCTGAATTCAGTCAGTCATTCTCTTTTGTTGCAGAATTATCCCATTTGTCCGTCCCGTGCGCTATGAAGATGTGCAACAGAAAGTGAAAACAGCCTTTGGCCAGCCGCTGGACCTCCACTACATGAACAATGAGGTACAGAGCATCGTTAGCAGTGCTCAGAACATGGGACGCTGTAGAATAAACCTCCTTTTCCATCCCAAATTCTGTACCCTTAAATTTAATTTTCAGTTCTTCCCTCTAACGTGAAGCACACTGCTCCAGAGGGAAACATGCTGGTACTGACCGAAGAATTAACGCTGATGTCTCTATTGTACGAACATCAGCATCTTGCTTCCTTGCACCCGTCTTGTCTGGGAGACTCCTGGGCAAGTAAAAAAATGGTATTTGAAGTATTCTGACTGTTGAAAGCACCTACTGCAGCCCAATACATTTACAGTCTGAGGACTGCTGGCAGCCCCAGAGCCATTTCTTCAGCTGCCTGATGGCAGTGTCAGTAGTGTTTGTGTTGAACTGCTGACCGGCAGCAGCCATCCAGCCATTTGTAACACGTTTACCTCCTGTTGGCTGCAACACCTTGTTCTGCTTATTGCCCAGCGTGTCAGCAAACAAGGGGAGAACAGGGGAGGCTCCCTGGTGTGAGATGCTGCAGAGCTGTGGGCACTGTCATTGGTAAAAGCAAGTGACGTGGGGAAGAGTGCTTCTCTCTGAGGAACTGGGTAGACTATATTAAGAGCCTGAAGTATTTCGTTGGCTCCTCCCTCTGGACACCCTGGCTTTTCCTTGTTGCCCTACCACCGTTCCGGACTGCATCCTCAAGGAGAGAGATGCAAAATCTCAATCACCTGTAGGAGCCAGACAAAAATGAGTGAGGTTCTTCAGTGTTAGCAACATTCACATTTTGAGATGTGAGTGGGCTGTAGAATAGAGGGTGTCTGAGCATCATTTCATGGGGACTTCAAGTTTTAAATTCTTCTTTGATTCCCTCTTTCAAATTCTTAATCTTCTTCATAGTAGTCTCTATGTGAAACCCAATTTTCACTTGAGAAAACCTTGTATTCTGAGACAAGGTTCCCATCAAGGAGTCAGGGGCCTGTCTCTGACTTGGTTTTTGCCAACAACAAATTCGGGTAGCCCTTATTTTTGTGTTGGTGCCTTAGAGAAATTTACATAGGGTCAGTCATTTCTCTGCTGGCAGGGGAGGAAAACCTTGTTAAAAAGAACAGTAAGACAGTATTATAATGAAAATTTGTGGAATACTTGAGCAATCACAATCCTATCTTGTATTCTGATGGTTTTTCCTAATGGTTGTTTAAATACCTGTTGTGGAAGTAGGCTTTTTTTTTTCCCTGTCTTTTCTAATTATGTTTTTCCTGTTCTTTATTTTGCAGCTATCTATTCCTTTGAAAAACCAAGATGACCTGGATAAAGCAGTAGATCTCTTAGACCGAAGCTCTAATGTGAAAAGCCTTAGAATATTATTGCTGTCTCAGGACAGAAACCATGTAGGTAACAACTTCTGTAACTGCAGCAAAATGAAGGTTTTTACTCTTAAGCCTCTGAAACATGATGGTAGCCTTATCTGAGAGTAACAGGAATTAGTAAAATCATTCTTCACAGACACAAATGCATGTGTTTATTCTCTGTGCTTTGGCTTAGCTATAGACATCTCTTTTTTTCTTCCTTTGTTTTCCTGGCTTCAGTAGCTGTTCAGGGACTAAAGCATGGCAGCTTTTTAAGCTGTAATATGAAGGCCATTTTATATCAAGTACCCACTGACTGTATTCAGAAAACAATGAGTTTGGTTCACAGGGAACTTAATTTTGCCTTTGATGAATAGCACAGTGCTGAAGGTGCATGTAATTAATTATGTTGCCTGTAAGTAAGCTCAAGTTGTCCTTGAAGACAAGCTATTGGCACCTTTTCCTCTTGGGTGAGAAGCCCAAGAACAGCTCCCAGTGATTTTTCAGTTCTGTAGCTTGATGCACTGAATCCAGCCTTACTCTGTAGAAACTCAGTTGCTTCTAGCTAATAATGGTGTGTTAGCACCTAAGATGAATTTGATGGTGTCGTGGTTCAGTTTCCAGTACCACAGGTGGCTGTGGCAGTGAGTATCGATGCACTTTTCAGCAGAAAAGATCATAACATGAGATCTTTAAGTCAGGCTCCCAAAGCTGCCCTTTTTGGGGAATGAATTTCACTGCAAGCTGAAGAGGGCAGAACCAGCAGTTTCCCCTATTCCTGCTCCATGACTGGAGAACTTTTTTCAATCGACTGGCATTGGGTTTTGGTTTTTTTTTTCAGAACTAAAATCATACCTGTTTCAAGCTAAAGACCTTGATAGCTTAGATATTTCATTTACAAATTACCAAATTCGCTTGAAGAGTGTGGTGCACAAAGCTACTGTCTCGAAAGCTCGGTTGGTAGCAGCTTGTTGACTGTTCATCCCTATTCAGGTTCTGCAGGCTGTGAGCTCAAACTCCTGAAATAATCACACCTGTAAGTCTTGGAACTGTCAGGAGAACTTAAATATACTTCTTGCTATTTCTGAATTTGTTAACCCACATTAATAGAAATGCGCAGACCTTCAGGAGTATTAACAGCCCTTTCCCAAACGTCTGGATGCCAAAAGCTGGAAAGGTGTAGGAGGGGATGATGCTGTTCTTTGTCCTATGGCCTTTCCCTGAGCGTTTGTTACTGGCTGTTCTGAAGACAATACTTGGCAAGAAGGGCTTTGGTCTGACCAAGCGTAGTCAGGCTTTGTTCTGTGTTGTCAGGAAACAGTCTGTAAAAGGTGGCCTCAACTTTTGGTATAACGCAGTAAATCCTCTTTTACAGCCCTCTATGAATTTCAGTGTCTTCAGGCTGCAAACCAGATCTTAAGTGATACCATCTAAACTTTACATAAGCCACCTACAGTAAACTAAATCTCATCCCTACACCAGCCAGTAACCAGTGCTGTGGGGTTGTACTTTTATTAGCTGTTTTTTCCTCTTCTGCTCAAAGCAGAAACAAACAGCGAAGCCTTCAGTAAGTGCCACTGTTTCCCCCCTCTCCTCCGACTTCCTCTTCAGCTCTGAGTTGCCTGACAGGAGAGCCCTACATGTGATAAAGCAAAAGCCCACAAGTCTGAAGGAGGTTTCTTGGCTGCATGATCTCATCCCACTGAGGGAGCGGGAAGCATTATTTTTCCTGAAGTACAGGATGCAGATTTTGTTTTGGTTGTGCTCTTTTCTTTTTCTGGGGATGGAAAGGTAATGCTGTGACTTTGGCACAAATCTGTGTATAAACCAACCTGACTTTACAGCAGTAACTGTGTGACTAGTACTGAGAGCCTGTGTTTGCAAACAGCGTTTATATTCATTTTCTTGTGCTGCTTTCTGTGGCCCATTTGGGCTTTTTTTTATCAAGCAGCTCACTTCTGTTGGCAGCCCTGTCTTTCTGTTTAGAAACTAACGGAAAGAACTGGTTAAGTTGAACACCTCGACTGCTAAAGCCAGAGTGTCCACGTAAACGGTGTGACCTCTGCATCCTTTATTCAGCTCCCATGAATCTGTTCATGGTAGAGTTTATATAATTTAAATCAGGTTCCTTCCTTGCTCTGTGCAAGGCGAAGTGCTTGTTAAATGAGCAACTATTCAGTACTTAACTTCTTTGGTTCTGTGGCTTCACACCTTATTTGCCAGTCACATTCAAATAATTCCCAGAAGTCAGAACTCATCTCCCTGGGGTGTCTATCGTTCTGTTCATTTTGATAAAATAAGTTAACACTGGTTAAATTCTGTAACAGACAAGAGGAAGGGAATTTTATATCCTCTTGTAAAACCAGGTACTTTGGGACAAGAAGATTGAAATCAAAAGTGTCCGCTAGTATTGAGGACCTGATTTGACATGTGTAGGATCTCATTTGCTTGGGGGATGTTGGCAATTCACAGTATTTTGTACGTTCAGACCTTCGTGCACCATCCCCAGATAGCTGGAGCACCGTTCAGTCCTCTGCTGGGAGCCCATGTCCCCTCTGTCATCCACGGAGAGAGCTGACACAGAGGTGCTAGCTGCCTGAACCTGCAGCCTAGGTATTTCCAAGTGAGCACCCTCTGGAGTTGGAAGTGGCCTTGTAGTTTCTCGCGGCAGAGCTGCGCGCAAGTGCTGCGCAAGGAGGGCAGGATTCTCCTGGGCAGCATCCTACTGCCCTAAATGGCAAAGCCATCCTGCAGCTCCTCTTGCTACAAAGCATGCTGGAGTTACCCCTTCCATCTTTCTCAGCAAACTGGGGACAAGTCCCTTGGCATGTCTCCTTTCATTCCTCTTCCTGATTTGAATGAGAAGATGACACCGTGGAAAAACGATTGTTCATTAGATGATGTCTATGTACTTTCAGGGAAGGGTGAATAAAAGGAACACAAGCCACATTCATCTTGGCATCTTCAAACTCTTTGTGCTCTTAAACTCTAGAATTTATTTTCACTTGGACTGACTTGTCAGTTTACTATTCTAAAAACTGTGGGGTTTCAGGTTGCTCTCTATCTGCTTCTGAAAGAGTGGAAGATGTGTAATTCATCTCTGCTGGCTGATAGAAACTGTAGGTTCTCCCATGGTTTGGTCTTAGAGTGAAATGAGCCCCTTCTTGTTTGTCCGTAGTGAGCTGATCGTGGAAGACAAACCTTTAGGCGAGTAAATCCTGCGTTGGATTTGAGGCCGGAGGGTTATAGCATGCTCTCGTTGTTCGACTCCTGTTTTACACAGTAACTGTGAATCTTGCTCTCTTGCTGCCTGTATGGTTTGTGTTCTGTGATGTTAATAAGATTTCAGGTTCTAGAACTGTTTCTCAGCTACTTTCTTGCTACTAAACATAATGGTGTTTTTGAAACTGTGGCCAGACCGCTTGAGCTCCTCAGTCTCATAAATTTTTATTTCATTTTACCCAACAGACCAGTTCTTCACCCCATTCTGGACTGCCCAAACAAGTCAGGATTAAAACTTCCCAATCTGTGGGGGATGTGAACACACCCTATCAGCAGCCAGAACCTAGAAGTAGGCATCTGTCTGTCAGTGAGTATTTTTGCCACTTCTGCTTGTCTTTATTTTGTGAGATGTATCTTTTGGACACCACTGTTTATGGCACAACGTTTGTGAAAGCCGTGAGAAACTGAAAGGTTATTTTAGGACAAGGCAGTTCATTTTTAAAAGCTCTGAATATGTTTACAGTAGAATGTTTCAAAGTTCCGTACGAGGTTGAACAGCTGAGGAGCTGCTAAAGGGGATGTCCTACAGCCAGATTCATTGAGGTTAGGAGTTTGGAAAGCTTACGTGAGTCCATTAAGCTTTTTATTTAGATTGGCAATTTCAGTTCATGAAACCTATATTTGATATTTTTTTTAACCCATGTTGGGCTTTGGAATATCCTCACTCCTGTATGAGGCATTTTACTAGTAGCACAGGAATTGCCACTGCGTGTCTAACCAGTCCCTGCATTCGGAGTTCCTTTTGCTCTCGTAATTACCTGTTGAGTAGAGCACAGGGCCAATATCGTAGGTGACTGACACAGCCACACAAAAGGTGAGACAAGTCAGAGTGATACGTACCTTTGTCTCATTTCCTTTGTGTTTCTGTTAACTTAGTGAACTCATGTTTACTGGAAAGGTCCGTGTAAGACTCCGGTAATTTTCATGACTTCTATCTCTTGGATTTGGCAGAGTTGTCCCAGTTTCTTAGTGATAACCCCCTGTGTAACTGTGCAGTACTATTGAGCTCTATGGTTGAAACAGCTCAAAGCTGTTAACTTTTTATGTGAAAAACATCTGAAACTGCTTCAGAGACATATGGGTCAAAAAAAAATTAAAAGTTGGTGGTTCAGAATCTGGCTCCTTGGTGTGAAGCTCAGTGAGCAGTGACAGAGCAGGAAGAAGGTGAGCAATTAGTAGGGATCTGCAGTACAAAGGCAGAGCCTGGGATGGTGTTCAGTGTGACTTACTCCTGCTTTAGAAGTGAGAAAAGCTAAATTTTGCTGGAAACAGAGGCAAAGGATGGCTGTGTTTGTCACAGCAGCTGTTCTAGGGCTTGTCAGACCTAATGCTCCAGATGACAAGTTTTGCAAATCAGGAGCACAGTACTAGGAGCTGGGAATGTCAGAGTTGTTTCGTTTCCCAGTTCTAAACCAGCTCCCTCTGTGGAAAAGGAAGGCTTCGGTTTCATTAACTGGGTAAACCTGAGGTGTAAACGTTAGAGTGTTGTAGATCAGTATTCACAGTGCAACCGTAGTGTCAAACAATAAATCCAATTAAACTAGACCAGACGGTCTCCATATTGGGGGGTCTAAGCCGGAGTCAGATCCCCACTGTTCTGACCAAAGGTAATTGGGAGAGGCAGCTCAATAGAGAAGGACTTGAGAACTAGACCAGTAGTTCCCAACACTAGACTTGTCTAGCCAACTGCTTGTCTAGAGTCTGCTGATCCCCTTTTATACAGTTTGCTTTTATGAAGTAGCAAACAAAAAAAGAAGTGCTGAAAGCTTGTGAAGTATGTGACTGAAACGGGAACAAAAAGGGTTTTCCCATCCTTTCTAGTTTCAAGTTAATATGCATAAAAAGAGCAACATTCCTCGGTCTCATGAAGAAAGCAGAGGTATCCATGCACGTCTGAACACCACGTTTCTTTTTTCACTGGAAAATTCAATGCCAAAAATATTTTATTTAAAAATAAAAATCTCCTTTATTGGCATTCTGAGGTAACCAAATAATGATGCCAAAGCTAACAGACTGTACCGAGTGTCTGTCGTGGGTAAACTGTATAGTAATAAGAGGCCCCTTCTGTGTCCCAGTTGTATTATCCCAGCTTATGCACACTTTCTAATTAGCCTGTCATTCATCACTCAAGAAAGCATTAGGTTTATTTTCTGGATGTGTCAAAGGACCAGACTGTTAAATCATTAAGAGGTCCGGAAGAGTTCCAGTTCTGTCAGAGGTCTGATGGTAACTTGGCAATAGCTCAGTCTTGAATCAATTCTTTCTTCCTTCTCTTCTCCTATCTATGATTCGGCAAAGGAATTTAACCCTGCTTTGCAGCGTTTCAGGCATAGAGAATAGGCTGTTTGTGCCATGCCATGCAGTGCAAACTGAAAGCAGCGTTCAACAGAAGTTGTTTGCATGCAGGAGATATATCTGTGTAGTTCCTGTCTTCTAAAGTGGACGGGCCTCGAGCCTGCTGTCACCAACTCAGAGGTTTGGAAGTAATGATAACTTTTATTTAAAAAAAAAAAAAGTTGCTAAGCATTCTGGCAGCGCTTGTGTTTTTTCCACTCACTTCCTTTGATATACATTGATTTAGTGCTGACTTCCTTTTCCTGCCCAGTGCTGGTGGCCTTTCCACAATAGCAGCTGGGCTGATGCCAGCAGGGCTCGGGCTCCCTTCGGCC